AGAGGCCCTGGCAGGGGAGGGATGGGGCACAGGGGGCAGGCAAGGAATACAGAAATGTCCTTCACAGGCCGGAGGTGTTCCTGAGAGGATCTTTCTCATGTGAGATTTTCTAGTTCCTGCTTTTCCTAGGTTGCCCCCTTCCCTCCCCTTCACCCCTGTCCCTCTCGCCTCTTGCTCCCACTTCCCTGGCTCCTTCCTGCTGGGCTCCTCCTGCCTCGCTCCCCCTTCCTGGGCTCCCTTCTGCCTTCTCTGCTCTCCTCCTCTGCGCCGCACTTGTGGTCTGCTCTGGGGGGTTCCCCTGTCCCTGTGTCATTCCCTCCTCCCGTGTGTCTACTCCCGTCCGCGTCATTCGTCCCTTTGCTCTCCCCCTTCATCCCTCCCTCACTCACTCTTCTTCTTGCCTTCTTTCCTGGCTGTTTTCAACTGGCTTTCTTTTCCCCTTCCTGCATTCTTCGTTCATTCTTTCCTTTTCCATTCCTTTCCTACTCTAGGCACTTCCTTCATTTTTCTTTTTTCATTCTACATTTCTTTTCACATCTCTATTCATTCTCTTTTTCATTCATTCTTTCTTTCCTGTTTTTCATTCTTTTTCACTCTCTAGTTGTCTTTTCCATTCTTTAGCTTTGCTATTTTTCATTACTTTTTCCTTCATCCATTAACTTATTCAATGCCTTCCGTTTTCAGTTCTTTTTCATTCATTCATTTTCTTTTTCATTCTTTCCTTTTCATGCATTCTCTATTGCCTAGTTAATTTCCTCATTTTTCTTCATCATTCATTTTCAGTTTTCCATTAATTCTTTTTCTTGCATTCATTCACTCTTTTAGTCTTTCTTTTCTATTTTCATTTCTTTCTCTTTTTCATTCATTTTTTTTCATTCACTGTTTTCTATTTTCATTTTTCTCTTTCATTCATTTGCTATTGTCTAGTTAATTTCCTCATTTTTCTTTTTCATTAAAAGTAATTATCAATTCATTATCACCAATATAAACTATAATTCATTATTATTAGCAATCAAATTATTATAGAGCAATGTTTATTTCTACATCCCTTTTACATTTTTCTTTCTTTCTTTGCTAATCTAATAAATTATTTTTCTTCATCCATTCTCCAGTTAATCTTTTCATTTGCCTTTTTCCTTCTGTACAATTTTTTGGGGATCCTTCTCACTTTTCATCCCATTTTTCAATCATGCATTCTTAGCTATTTCTCACTTCGATCTCTCTCAATCTTTCTTTTCTATTTTAATACTCGTTTAACTGGCTCATTCTTCAGTCACTTTTCTCTATTTCATTTCTTCATTTCCTTTCCTGTTTTTCATTCTTTCTTTTTCTCTTTTTACTGTCCTGCTTTCTTTTCATGTCTTTGGGTATGTCTACATGGCAGCCCTATATCAGAATCACGGACGTGATTTCAAAATAACAAAACTCATGTCTACCAGGGCCGGCCCAAGCCCTTTTGGCACCCCGGAACCGGGCGCATGGCACCGCCCCTGGGCACATGTGTGGGCCCATCCCCCCAGGGGGTGCGGGTCCACCCCTGGGGCGCATGGCCGCTGGCGCGCGCCCAA